GTCCCTTCCTCAAGGTGTTTGTCTTGATGTGTCCTCGGGTGGAGCAAAAGGTCAGCAGCAGAGCCGGGCAGAGAGAGGGAAAGCGACACAGGGCTGACAATTGGTCTGTCGGCCTTTTTCACGGCAGCTGGCCTTTTGACTTGTTGAAGCAGGAAAAGCAAAAGTGTCCCTTGACAGTGAGCCAGCATGCACAATCCTAGGACCCTGAAACTGAAGCAGCTAAATGGAATTCAGCCGCCATTAATTGCTTTTCCTACTGTGACGTGTCAGAAAGGCGAATTAATTCAAGAAAAACGTCTTCTCATGTGAATGTTTGCTTGTTCTTGACTGAATATATTTCAGTTTTGAACTATTGGCGGCACAAATACAGTCATTTACTTTACGGGTAGGCTTGGTATTGACACGTTTAACTCAAGTTTTATTTCTCCTTTTTTAATGATGCAGGGTTGGTTTTACTCTCCAGTGAATTCACTACATTTTACTACGGTTTTTCCTCTAATATTTTGCCACAGCCCATAAGTAACAGTTCAAATCAAGCAGAATTGATTATATTTGACATAAAATGAATCTTCTCACCTACAAGCCAATTAAAAGAAGAATGAAAAAAGTGTTTGTTGCACGTACAATTAAGACATTTTTCCACCGGGCTTTGGTGAGAATTGTGCTCGCAGCTCCGGAAAAAATAGACTTGACTGCGAAACTTTTGCTGCAGGTTCCTTCCACGTCTGGTAAACCGGCTCTGAAGTGTCATACGCAGGTTATCAGACCTTTTATTTACCACATCATAAAACAATTAAAGGAACAGTTTGTCATTTTAGGAAATACTCTTATTAAATACACTTAAATGTAGCTAAAGATAGCAACAAATCTGCCTACAGGGACAAGCACAGAGTCAAGATGAATATGAGATATTATATTTGATTGAGTGTGCTTTAGGAGGTGCTGCGGTCCTGTTGATTTGAACACACAGATTTCCCAAAATGTCAAACAATCCCCTAAATGCACAAACACAAACACGCATACAGACACCTACATGCTTGTAGGAAGAGAGGGACACCATGACGTCTGGTGGTGAAGCATCATATGGAGGAGGAGAGCTCAGGTAAAGGAGAGGGAGGAAGTTAGGTAGGAGAGGAAGAAAGTAGGTGATGAAGTTACGAAACCGAGGAGGATGAAGGGCCCATGCAGAGCAGAGGAGTAGAAGAGGAGTAGGAGTGTAATGTATGGGGGCAATGTGAGGAGGAGGAGGAGGAGGAGGAGGAGGACAGGCGAAGGGACAGCAGAAACCATCTCTCTCTCTCTCTCTCTCTCTCTGGGTGGATGAGATGTTGTGCTTGTTGACGTTATTGTGCCTCTGTGTGCGATTGTGACAGTGTGACAATCGCATGAAATACTTCACCCACCTGCTGGCCTTCACATCCCACACGCTGCCACTCACAGCAAACGAGCAGAGGGCCGAAAAACAGTGGGATGACTGATTGGGTGGAAGGGAAGGAGAAAAAAAATAAAACAACCTTCAGTCCACACACACTTGTTCCCTCCACTTCATTTCCCTCCATCCGCTCTCCAGTTCAGACTCTTGAGTAATTACTGCTCCTTTCTTTCAACTCCCTCTCTCTCTGCTGCCTCCTCAGAGCTGATGTAAGTGCTGAAGGGCCCTTCATTAGAGAGGAAGAAAGGAGTGTGGGAGAAAAGAGCTCTCTCTCTCTCTCTCTCTCTCTCTCTCTCTGTGTGTGTGTGGTGAGGACATAATGCTAATAAGCGCCTGATAGGCTACAGGCGATGTCCTCTTATAATTATAGTCTATGTAAATTTCAGAGTCTCACCCGGCCACCGTCCGTTCCTGCGGGACAGAAACACCTGTTGATCGGCCTTTGCTTTCCTTCCCCGTGTGCAAGTGACGGATGGCGGCTCCCTGTCGCGGTTTACAGGTAAACACGGCGCCTCTCGTCACCCCGCGGCGGTGACGGGTCTCCACAGCAACGCCGTGACGAGCCAACCGGGAGAGAGCGGGGCGACAAGCGGCGGGAGCGGCGACGGGCGACCGGTCCTAGTCGGAGATCGTCTATTGAGATGATGAGTTACTCGGAAATAAAAAGAAATAAAAAAAATAAATAAACAAAAGAAGATTTAGTTGACCAAGAATTCAAACTCCACCATATTATGTTCTGTGTAATAATAATAATAATAATAATAATAATAATACTTGTATTTGTATAAAAAGCATATAAAGCACACAATTAATAGACTGTATAAAATTAATAAAATAATATATAATATAAATCCATTAAAATGGATGGGGATTATTTATTTGTACATGTATTCCACTGATTGGGTTGTTAGTCCCAGCATTGGGTGTTTGTCAATTCCTGAATCGGTAGATTGACACAAAATTAGTCAGGAACTATTTTAATAATCAATTAATCAGTTAATAATCTTTAAAGAAAGGTTTCAGGTACTCAATTGTTCATATTTGCTGATCCTCTATTATATTAAACTGAATATATTTGGGTTTGGGGTTGTTGGTGTTTTTTGATATTTTATATCTACATTATTCATGTATTGCTATCGAAAATCCACATAAAAACCTGGGATATAAGCGATGTAGCTTCCATGCATTTAGTGTGTTGTTGTCATGTTGTTGTTTATTTTGAATTTTGAACATTTAATCTCATCTTTATTTTCAAGATAAGATAAAATAGACTTTATTGATCCCACCCTGGGGGAAATGTACTCTCTACAGCAGCTCCACGTACAACACAATAGATAAGAAAACACACATTAAATAAAAAGAATAGAACAGAAAAATAAAAGATATAATAAACACTGAATAAAAGTTATATGTACACTATACACAGCTGTTTATACACACAATAAACATGTTCAATCTCACCTGTGTGTGTGTGTTATTGGTTATATAAGTTCATGACAGTGGGCTCACAAGAACCGTGTCACGTTTGTACACTTTTGTTTCAGCACCCACACCTCTTAAAAAAACACTGAAAGGAAATCTCCCCCAAAAAAATGAAAAACCATAGACGATCTTTGGCAACAAGTGGGCGTTCAGTTCCTCTCTCTCTCTCTCTCCCTCCCTCCCTCCCTCCCTCCCTCCCTAGGTCAGCGTG